GGATGAAGTCCATTTGATGTACAGCGAACCTGTGTAGGGTTTCTGGTCTGTGAGTCTTTACAGGAGTAGAAAGCCTCATCTTTTTCCGGAGAGAACAGGTAGATAAGCATTCAAGAACATGTGTGATTAGTCTGGTGTAGAGTTGAAGTTAAAACAGAACATGTAACGCTTTAATAAAAAGTTTCCTAAATGCTTCCTCCCCAGCCCCACTATCATGATCCCAATTCTACCTTACAAGTCTGGCTATTCCAGAGGATGTACATTGGTACAGATAGGAACTGGAAATACACGGAATCCAGCGCGGATGATGCCTTCAGGACCAGTGGTGTGAGTGGTGATACTGGGAGTGTAGAGGGAGAGTGGTTGGAAAGGGGGAACTGATTACAAGGATCTACATGTGACCTCTTCCGTAGGGGACAGACAAGAGAAAAGTGGGTGAAGGAAGACGTTGGACAGTACAAGATATGACAAAATAATAATTTATAAATTATCAAGGGTTCATGAGGGAGTGCGGAGCGGGGAGGGAGGAAAAAAAATGAGGAGCTGATGCCAGGGGCTTAAGTGGAGAGCAAATGTTTTGAGAATGATGAGGGCAATGAATGTACAAATGTGCTTTACACAATTGAGGTATGTATGGATTGTGATAAGTCGTATGAACCCCTAATAAAATGAAGGAAAAAAAAGTTTACTTGAAAAAGTTATGTATTGAGAAAAAGGAAAAAGAACATGTTTTTTAAAGCCAGATTTTAGGTAGCCTTAGAATTTGAGTAGAATTTCCAGGAGTCTCAGGAGGGATCCTGAGAAGTTTCATCTTGAAAGTATAAAGGAGCCACTGTGGTCCTTGGAGGAGGCGGTAAAATACGCTTCCCTGTCTGACTACCTCAGTTTGGGTCCTTAGCATTTGCAGGCAGTGACATTTTGTCTCCTAGATACCTACTGGGCGGCTTCCTATTGGGGCTGGCCCCACCTAACTCCTGGGTTATTTTCATTCCTTTATATCACAATATACCTACGGTTTCAGGCTCTGAATTTTATTTTCTTCAGGGTATGTTGAAGTGAATTAAAAATGAATCCTGTCCCTTAATAAATACAGAAAGTGCTGTTATATGGGAGTGCTCTGGAGAATCCTTTTGAAGAGGGGAGAATCCTTTAGTTAAATATATGTCCCCTCCCCAATTTATTTTATAAACTACATTTGTTTGAGGGAGGCACAGCTATATTAAAGATTTTTATTTTAATCATTTTATTAGGGGCTCATACAACTCATCACAATCTATACATACATCAGTGGTGTAAAGCACATTTGTACATTCATTGCCCTCTCATTCTCAAAACATTTCCTCTCCACTTAAGCCCCCGGCATTAGGTCCTTATTTTTCTCCTCCCTCCCTGCTCCCCCATCCCTCATGAGCCCTTGATAATTTACAAATTATTATTTTGTCATATCTTGCCCTGTCCGACGTCTCCCCTCACCTACCTTTCTGCCGCCCGTCCCCCAGGGAGGGGGTCACATAGTTCCCAATAGTAGGTTCCCTCCTTCCAACCCATTCTCCCTCTACCCTCCCATTATCGCCACTCTCACCACTGGTCCCCAAGGGATCATCCGCCCTGCATTCCCTGTGTTTCCAGTTCCATCTGCACCAGTGTACATTCTCTGGTCCAGCCAGACTTGCAAGGTAGAATTTGGATCATGATAGTGGGGGTGGGGAGGAAGCATTTAGGAACTAGAGGAAAGTTGCACCTTTCATCGTTGCTACATCGCACCCTGACTGGCTCATCTCCTCCCCGAGACTTCTCTGCAAGGGATCTCCAGTGGCCTACTAATGGGCATTGGATCTCCACTCCGCACTCCCCCCATCATTCACTATGGTAAGATTTTTTGTTCTGATGATGCCTTATACCTGATCCCTTCGACACCTCGTGGTTGCATAGGCTGGTGTGCTTCTTCCATGTGGGCTTTGTTGCTTCTGAGCTTGATGGCCGCTTGATTACCTTCAAGCCTTTAAGACCCCAGACGCTATACTTTTTGATAGCTGGGCACCATCAGCTTTCTTTGCCACATTTGCTTATGCACCCGTTTGTCTTCAGCGATCACTTCGACACCTCGTGATCACACAGACTGATATGTTCTTCCATGTGGACTTTGTTGCTTCTGAGCTAGATGGCCGCTTGTTTACCTTCAAGCCTTTAAGACTCCAGACGCTATACTTTTTGATAGCTGGGCACCATCAGCTTTCTTTGCCACATTTGCTTATGCACCCGTTTGTCTTCAGCGATCACTTCGACACCTCGTGATCACACAGACTGATATGTTCTTCCATGTGGACTTTGTTGCTTCTGAGCTAGATGGCCGCTTGTTTACCTTCAAGCTTTTAAGGCCCCAAATGCTATATCTTTGGATAGCCGGGCACCGTCAGCTTTCTTCACCACATTTGCTTATTCACCCGCTTTGTCTTCAGCGGTTGTATCGGGAAGGTGAGCATCATAGAATGCCAATTTTAATAGAAGAACGTATTCTTGCATTGAGGGAATACAGAATGAAGAGCTGGTTTGTAAATGTCCCTGTTTTCCTCTGTCCTGCATTTTATTTGTGTTTGATCTTTTAAAAACTGCTTTCGATTGTGATGGGAGTTGTATGAGCCCCTAATAACATGATTAAAAAAAAAAATCCAAAAAACTGCTTTCAACAAGTTTTAGTTTGAATTCTTACAGTGTATCAGTGTTTTCTTTGCTTTAACAAAACCAACAAAAAATGCAAATATTCTGAAGTTTCTAGGTTAATCAGTTTTCCTGTTGAACATTATATTACTAAACATTCACTTGAACTGCACACATTGTTATTTCTGGATGCTTTAAAACAATGTTTCCCTGCATTAACATAGGCATAGTTTGGGAACAGCTGATTCGATAACCAGATTCGTGGCCATATGAGAAGAAATCCCTTGTCCCCAGTCCATTCTAATTCATAGCGACCCAGTTGGATTCCAAAGGTTGCTCTTGCGGACTGTCTTCTCTTTCTCCCATCGAGCGGCTTGTAGGTTCGAACTGTTGACCTGTGGTTCGCAGCTGGACTCAATCACTGCACCAACAGGGCTCCTTAAGGTTTTAAGAGAAAAGAGTAAAGAAATCTTCAGAGTAGGAGAAAGTAGGGTGTCTCTTTGGCGGTTTATATGTAATAATCTAGCACTTAATTCACTCAACTCATGTAACAAGCATTAGTGCTAATCATTCGTGCTAATCATTCGGCTTACAAAGATGAGTACTTGTCCTAGATGGTTAGTGCCCTGACTTTTTCGTTGTTTAGTGGTCTCTTATTTGTAGGTGTGGCCCTGATGGTCAAGTGGTAGTGATTTGTACAGATCCCAGGAGGTAAAATTTGAGTTACCCCTGCAGGTTCCCATTGAGTTGTTCATGATTTATGGACCCCAGGTATGTCAGAGTGAAACAGTGCTCCTGAAAGTTTTCAATTGCTGATATTTAGAACGAGATCTCTAGGCCTTTTTCCAGGGTGCCTTTGGGTGGACTCGAACTCCTGACCTTTCGGTTAGCAGCTGAGAATTCAGGGTTAGGGTTAAAACTAATCCCATTTCTAATCTAGTTTCTGTTTCTTGTCATTTGTGTGTTTTAAATAACCTTTTGGAGAAACCGGTGCAATCAATTACTTTAATGTAAGTGTCACATACTACACCATACAATTTGTGACTGATTTTCTAAGTTAACAACTGTAAAATGTTGTAATACAGGGTAAGGAACCAAAAGTAGTTTTTATGTTTAAACTCAGTAGTAAGAACTTTAATTGTTCGTGGTAAAAGTGCACATAATGGAAAAATGTGGTTTTTCTCCTGAAGATATTCCTGGATTAAGAGTAAAATGTTTATTTGATTAGAATACATGTGAACTTAGTAGCTGCTATTGGAAAGTTTCAGATATACTGAAGGTAATCTTAGAACTAATTATCTGAATTTTTGACTTAGTGTTGATTTTAGATGAAATTCTGAGATTTTTGACAGGGTTTCTGTCACAACTGTCATAAAGAGGGTCGTTGGATTCAGTATTTGTGAACCAGGGACCTGTGTTCACATTGCATGGAATCCCTCTGATTTCATGTTTTAGAACTTACATGTTAGACGATATTAAAATATTGAATTGTTTAAAGTTTGTTGACTCTCTAAACATTATTTCGACGTTATCTATTTCAGAAACATGTTTTGTACCTCTCTGACTTCCCTAAGATTAATATTTAATACTAGAATTCTAGTTATGTTTTTTGCTAGTTATGTTTTTATCTATTTTCAGTTGTGCCTTATCTGTAGACAAATAATTAGAAAGATGTTGAACTTGCATTTTGACAAGGGATGTTGATACTGTATTCCCTGTTTACCAACATTGTTTATCCCTTTAAACCATTTTGCGTTTATTTAGACAGGATTATTTTGGCCTGAGTGATCCATTGAAAAACTGCAGTTTTAAAACTTGAGTCTTGGTCTTCTTGTAAATTCATAGTAAACATTATGAATTGAGGACATTGAGGGTAGATACTATCATTTTGGGGTCTACTATAGATGTCTTGTTACCTTTGTAGAGGTGAAAAGAGCTTTTAGCATACATTGTTTCATTTCTATTCATTAATCTGGTTTTGGCTAAGGGCAAAATTTTTTCTAAAACACTTTCAAAACAGCAGATTGTCATTTTAGTTTGTACTAAACAATTACACGTGGAAGGTTGTGAGAACACTCAGTTTTTCAAGAGATATACTGTATGTACTCTGTGTGTGTGTGTGTATGCACACACATTTGTACATGTGTCATGCATATGATTATTTAAATTAAAAGCTGTAATTTGCCTACCATTTCATATTTTCCTAAGTTTTTTGGTATTGTACTAGGATTTTAGGTTTTTAATAACTAACAAAAGAAACACTGAATACATTATACTAAAAAAGATGACCTGCATGGATAATAATTGATTTAGTTAATTATTCTTTATATTTCATTTTATAGAGAGCTAGTCAGCCAAGCCAGGCAATATGCTATTGCTGCTGAGAAAAAGAATTATCTTCAAGAGGATTCCATGGCTGCTCATCAAAGGAACGCCAGCCAGTTTGATTGGGCTCTAATGAGACTCGATAATTCTGTCCGAAGAACTGGCCGAATCCCAAAGACACTTCTTCAAAAAGTCTTTGATAACACATGCAACTCAGGTATCTAAAATTTTTATGTTCAAAAAGCTGAACTCTTTTCGAAGAATATATTTGGTTACAGTGCATTATGGAGTACATATGTTGGTACTTTTGATTGTTGTTGATCAGCATGATTTTGCTTTCTGTTTTATTCTGGAGTCAGCAAATGAAAAATTGCCCCTTTGCTTTCCATAGCTTGTAATAGTTTCACTTTCAGTGGTGAATTGTTGCAGGAGATTCGAGTTTTCTTTATTGTGTTGTATGAGGGGCTTCAAAAAGTGTTTGAACTGCGGATGCAATAGCAAAGTGTGGGGAAGAAATCAGATGGTACACAGCTCTGAGACAAAACAGTGTCTGGAGTCTTAAAGGCTTGTTTCAAAATAAGCAGCCGTCTAAGTGAGGAGTCAGCTAAGTTCACCTAGAAGAAGCACACCAGCTTGTGTGACCCAAAGATTATAAATAATAAAATTCAGACCTTCCTGGAAGAGGGAACGATACCCGAACCTAAATTGTTCAACCCCCAGGTGCAGAACGTTACAGAAGATAGTGGAAGCCCCCAAATCCATTTTGCAGTGGGTCTCCACTCACCACAGTCCAGGAAGGTGAACAGCCAACCAGCATTGTAAAGTGGATTTTAGTAACTGTAGGTCGGCTGGAACATCACACCGTGCCATTAGGTCTCCCTTTTGAACTATTTTGAATTTATTCTGGGTTTTTAAGATTTCCTGCTGTCTTTTTGACTGAGGTTTTTCTCTGTTTTCTTTGGCCATTGCTCCCGGGTTCTTTTTGTTTTTTGCCTTTGCTTTGTATATTTTTTTGTAAAGGGAAGGCAGGATGGGTGGATCTATGAAGACAGCAACTGGATTAATAATTGATTGGTGGTAAGGAAGGGGAGGTGGGGGGGTGATGGGGAGTCAACAGCAATGGGTACAAGAAGGAAGAAAATGTTCCCAAGTTGATTTGTAGTCATGCAGAACCCTTCTTAATATGATTGACCTACTGAATTGTATTGAATATGAATTATGTCTCAATAAAACTACTTCGAAAACAGTTGGTGAAAAAAATTCCAGTTTCTTTTAATTCCAATTTTTAAACAAACTTTTGAAACTCCCTCCCGGAGTGTCACTTTTTGGTAAGATGATCCTGTGTGATAGATTTCAAGAAAGACCAGTCATTTCCCTTTCATTTTCACTTAACTATTCCAATCTACTTGGGTCACTCTTGCCTTTGATACTCTGATGAAGCTATAGGTAGATACTCCCCTCACCCCCACTCCACTTGCCCTTTTGGGGCATTTATCAGCTTCAGGAAGCCCATCCATGGATTTCAACCAAGGTCAGAAGCATTTCTGTAAAACTTAATGATGAGGCATACCAAAGAAATACCAGTTACAAAAATAAAGTTATGTGCATTTAAAGACCTGGGATAATTTCTTTGTCCAGCTTTTTGCTTTTATACTTCAGTTCTTTGGTTTTGAATTGTAATAACTTTATTGAGATACTGTATAATTCACTCATTTGAAGTGTGCAACACAGTCAATGGCAGAGTGTTTCTGTCACCCCTATGCCCCTAGCGGTCCTCCCCAAACCCCCCACCTCCTCACCCCTTCCAGCCCTAGGCAACCGGTGGTCTACTCTCTGTCTCTGTGGATTTGTTGTTCTGCATGATTCATAGAAATGGAATCAAACGATATATTATTTCATTCAAAGTTACACTTTCAGGTACATGGAGAAAGAGGGACAGGGGTTTATGTGATTTTGTAGCTGATATGTAAACCTAAATTTTTTATTGCTGTGTTTTACTTGTCCTGGTTTGTATAATTTTCTAAGACTCTGAAAAGCTGAGTCTTTGAATTGCAGCAAGAACTGTGTATATATTCTTTGTATTTAATAATCTTGCAGACATACCTTATGTTGATGATCTAGCATCTGTTGCAAAGGTAACTGATGTTAAAAGCTCAGGATGTACCTTTTTTTCTTTTTAATCATTTTATTGGGGACTCTTACAACTCTTGTTACAATCCATTCATCACTTGTATCTGACATATTCGTATACATATTCCATATTTTTTTCCCTAGACAATTACTTTCTGTTGAGTCCTTTGGATCATCTCCTCTTTTTTCCTTCCCCCACTCCCCTCAACCTTCCTGGGCCCTTGATAGATTCTAGATTGTTAATTATTTTCAAATCTCACACCGACTGCTGTCTGTCTCCCTTCCCCTCTGGTTTATGTTGTTACAGGAGGTAACTTTCAATAAAGCTCTATAAGTGATGCTTGTGCGTGAGGATAGTTCCCCCCCACCCCACCCAATTTACGAGTACATCCTTAAAATAACCCTTGTTGGGCCTGTGTATTGACAGATTGCAGTTTAAATTTCAGTATGTGTGCATATGATATTGGTTCTGTGCTAAAATAGTATCCACTGACATTTTTTATAGGTAGCCCAGGTGGTAATCAAGCCTTGCTTCTGCTGCGCAGCTGTGGCTCTCTCTTGCCTGAACTAAAGGTCTCCGAGCGCACAGAACTTGTTCATAGGATATGGGACAAACTTCAGAAACTAGGTATGTATGATGATTGCTTGATGGTAGGTGTGGATAAGAGGCTTAAGTTTTTTCTTTTAGAGAAAAAAGTGTTTCTTTACACAAGTGCGATAGTTCAATTTTATGGAAGTGCTACTTGATTTATCGTTTTTTTTATTCTTATGATTTATGTAGTGAGTTCTAGTGACATCTAGGGGCATTAATAATGATATATTTTTTAATTTTTCAGAAGCATTCTTTTTAATAGTAAATTAGGAAAGAGGGTGAAGTAGAGAACTGTTTGGCCAGTAGAGAACTAATGCACAGACCATTTGACCAGAGCAGTTTCATTTGTTAGGATTTAGATCGAGTGGAGTGTTTCTAACAGCAAGAACATGGAACCAGCCCTTCTGTCCTTCACTAGATTGACAGATAAGTGATGCGACAGCCTACGGGATGGAATACCGGGTAACCATTACAAAAGAAAATGAAAGAATCTTCATATACTAGTGAGAATATGCTGAGATATAAATCAAAATGAAGGTGCAGAATAGTGTATGTAGTGTCCTACCATTTTAAGGAAAAGTATTTATACATGTATGTGCATGTACACACACATATACCAAGTGTTTCTCAGGGGAGTACTCGAGAACTGGTAAATACTGGATACAATTTTTAAACTCTACTTCTTGGAACTTTTGCAGTTTTGAGGCATATGAATACAGTATCCAAAAAATAGCTCTAAAAGGCCACTTGAAAAAAATCACTATCTAAAATCTAAAGCTGACAACTAATACCATGTATATTGACAGTGGAGTGAGCTGCAAACCAATACTAGAAAGCATTATATTTTAGGTTTTGTGATTGTTTACCCATAAAATCCCAGGAAATCAACCAATTTTTTTTAACTTAAAATAAAAAAGCATTAGAATAAATATAGGAAATGTTTAAGAATTTCTAATTTGTTTACTTAGGAAATAAAATGCATAGAACAAAAAGCTGATTAAGAATAGCTACAAAAAGATAAACTGTGAATATCACTTATGAAATGTGTGGGGCTGATATTAAGAACCAAAAACAGACTGTAGAACAAAGTCAGATTGTAACCTCACAGTTAGTTAGGATCATCACAGTTGAATTCATTTTTAAAGTTTAAAAATATATAAATCAATGTTGGGTTTCAGAATGAAATTTCTTTTACTCTAGAACTAGACCTATGCTCTAGTAGTTGTTAATGTGACAGGGGAGAAATGGAATGAGAGAAACGAAATTTGGTAGTGTTCTGCTGCTTGGATTGTTCCTGACCAGACCACCTCTGTGGAGTTTGAACAGCGTTCCTCAGTGTTCCAGTAACACTCCCCCTGGAGTGAATCCGGTCACAAGATGATAAACTTAATTCTCTTAAGCCTTGGAGTGGTAGCCAACCATTGTTAGAGTTTAATGTGAGTTGAGAGTTTTAAAAAGTTGTTGTCAGATACTGTGTTAGCAGTTGGGTTCTCTAATCTAGAATTCTAATGTACCCCCTACGTTCAAATCCTAAGGTCACTTACTAGCCACGGGACCTCGGATAAGTGGAAGAGTCCGTTTTCCTGCTCTGTAAGATGAGGGTGATAGTAGTATCTGCTCAAAGCTACAGCGAAGGGCAACCGGACCTCTCTATGCAGATCACTTACTACAGTGCCTGAAACAGTAAATCTACGTGCCTGTTACTGTCTGTACATCAAGTTTTGCTTCATAGATCCTCATGATCTGGCTTCAGGTGTTGGCCTCTGTGGCCACAGGGAATTAATTTAAAAAAGAAATGTACTATGACAGGTGCTAGGATTTGAGACCCATAGGGTGGCCATTATGTCAGGAGTCGAGTGGTGAAAGTAAAGCCAAGTAGTAGCCCTGATGGTGTGGCCCTGGGAATGGAGAGGGTCTTTGAAACAAGGCTTGGAGTAGAGTCTCAGCGTAGCAAACAACTCCAGTCACATCTCAGTGTCTGGGATGTGGTGAGGACTGCTGGACGGCCAGTTACTCTTATTAGAGGGATGTTGTCAGTATTTTGAACAGGAGTGGAGTACTATGCTTTGCGATCAGAAACCTCAGTACCTGAATAGGCTGCTACTTAGAGCTGTTCAGTCAGCACTGTCTTTCTTACACTTAACTCTGTTCTGACAGGATTTCAATATAGATGAGTCTGAGTATTAAGGTAAATGGGTAAAATGCTAGTATGATAACGTTTACACCACACACCCCTGGTGTTCCCCCTACTGTGTGTGGACCTAAATTTATGTTTCCATTATTTATTTCAGTTGTGATTTAAATACTTTTCTAAAAATTTGATGAACATTCCATTCATAGGTACTGTGTATGATGTAAGTCACTACAATGCTTTACTTAAAGTCTATCTTCAGAATGAATATAAATTCTCACCAACTGACTTCTTGGCAAAAATGGAGGAAGCAAATATTCAGCCAAACCGAGTAGGTATTTATTATTGTAGATGTTATTGATCACAGTTACTTTTTTCAACCCAGAGGAAAAACTTAACTGGCCCATTTCATTGACAGGTGACTTATCAGCGGTTGATTGCTGCTTATTGTAATGTAGGCGATATTGAAGGTGCCAGGTATGGATCTCTAGACATTTGTAAATTTTATAAACTTAGAATGCTTTGTTAAAGTCATCATTTTTACAGTTTCTTCCTTAGTAAAGGAAGTTATTTTGGAAGCATATTAATCTAACAGATTTGAATGAAATATGAAATTGTTGTATAAGAAAAAATAAAGGTTTGTAACTAACATTTTAATTAAAATTTTGATTTACTGGAATGGAGAGTTTAAACAATTGAGCAATAAAACTGACTTTACTTTCTTCTTGACTGTTTTTTAAGGGTAATGCAGTTAGCCATTTAAACGTCATTTTAAGAAATGGGAATAATAATTTTACCCCACTGATTCATATAAAATCAGTTACAGTATTTCTCTCCTTATGTAAAATTTATTACCACTACTTTTGAATGGAAGATTGGGGATTTGGGGACTAACTTAAAATGTACAATTCCCTCTTAAGTAAATGAATCTTATTAAGCCTTGGGCTTTGTAAAGATTAACTCTAGTATAGAACAGATGACTGTATTTTTAAATATAGACTCCGGATATTTCAGATAGTGGGATTGGGTGGAAAGGAGTAGGTTTATACATGTTTTAGAAACTCTCTGATGTTTTTTTTCAAGGTACTGTATTAATTTGTTGTTGTTGTTACAGCAAGATTCTCGGGTTTATGAAAAGCAAGGACCTCCCCGTCACAGAGGCCGTGTTCAGTGCCCTTGTCACAGGGCACGCAAGAGCCCGGTACGTCCCAGGAAGAGCTCCGTCTTAAGTGGGGTTTAAATGGTAGAAAATTGCTATAGAAGGTGATCAAACCATACTGACTGAGACAGACCTCTCAGAAAATCTCAGGGTGAAGTCAAGCGTAATCATTTTTTTTAATAACTCGCTCTTCATGTTTCACAGAATTTTAAGTGCTCTTGCTTTAAAAACTGAGCCAGAGCCATAGTACGGTAACGTTGTGAAAAGATTTTTGCTTTGCTGGTGGCCGAGGGGAAAGGTCCTTTTGACGAGGAATTTAACAGTTGTTCATCTTCCAGAAAGATGAGCTTCGCTAGCACACAATAATGCCTAGTGTAAGAGGGTGCATGATTGAAAGTCAACTCATGTTGTTCCTTTACAATTTCATTACTTTGGGGGGAAGTTCTCTACACAAATTTGATACGTTTGTGATCTTTATTATTCTAAGAACATATAGCCAATTTAAGACACACCTGCTCTTTTTGACATTATTATGATTCTGAATTATGCTCAAGAATTTTAAAATTCTAATACCCATAGATAATTCACTTTCTATTCAGTAATAGTACTCTGTTGGCTAATTTGGCATATTATGGCACTCTAAAGGAGCCCTCTTGGTGCATTGGCCCAAGTACTGTGTTGCTAACCTAAAGGCTACCAGTTCAAACCCACCAGCTGCTCCATAGGGCAACGATGTGGCAGACTGTTTCTGTCAAGATTTACAGCCTTGAAAACCCCATGGGCCAGTTCTACGCTGTCCTATAGGGTCGCTATGAGTTGGGGTTGACTTGGTAGTAAAGGGCTTGGTTTTGGGTAGCAGTTAGTTTTATTTTCTCTTAACTGATTTCCAGAGACATGGAGAATGCTGAAAATATTCTTACAGTGATGAAAGAGGCTGGAATTGAACCTGGCCCAGACACATACCTCGCATTGTTGAATGCATATGCTGAGAAGGGCGACATTGATCATGTTAAGCAGGTATGACTTCAGTCATAATAATGCACAGGTTAAAATAATTTGTATAAATTAAGCATGTTTTGCATGAGGCGGAGAAGTGTAGTGTATACAACTCTTTAAAGTACATTAATCCTTCAGGAGAATTCTTTCTACAATGCAGTTGGTATTGCTTTTGCCATTATTGTTAAAGGTATAATATTTTCCACTGTTTTATGAAGAAAATCTTAAACCTTTGGATGTTTGTTTCTAATATTTTGAATCTTAGCATTTTAATATATTAGGGTTTAAAATTAGTGGGAAAAAAACAACACTGGTTTCTAACATTTCTTCTAATTTCTGCAACTGTTTGTAGACTTTGGAGAAGGTGGCGAAGTCTGATCTTTACCTCATGGACCGGGATTTACTGCAAATTATCTTTAGCTTCAGTAAAGCTGGGTATCCACAG